GCCTGAAACCAGGAAGAAGACACCATTCACAAACCACCCCCTGAAAATCTGCAGTTGCCACTAAAAAAACCAGACTTCCCAGCAAGGCAAAGACATCTGAAGTGGGAAGGATTAAATTGGTGTTTTCGTCACGAGAAGGCCTCAAGATGCTTCTAACTAACCTCTCTGCCTGGTACTGAAGCTCTCCAGAACCTTATTTCCTTTTCTTCTCTCTCCAACATACCTTCTGCTCTGGTCAAACATTGTCATTTTCTCCCCTGACAACTCCTTTCTGAAACAGTGGTCATCTCACTCCCTGACCTGCTTCTGCTTCAACCTTGGGCTTTTCTTTGAACCTTCAGGACCACTCCTTGCCCCACAATTAGGTGAGGCCCAGAGGAGAGCAGTGCTTACTAGATACCTATTCAATAGTTACTCAAAAGACCTAGGGCCACTGGAGAAAGCAAGCAGCAAGCATAGCCAGGGATTTGTAAAAAAAAAAAAGTTTCTTTCCACCATTCCATGTTCTTCTTCCCTTGATTCTGAAAGGGAAACTTGTACTGACCAAAATTATAACACTAGTCAGTATTCCAGGAAATCATACCATTTCACCATTGCACACTTTTGCATATGTTATTCTCTCTGCTTGCAAGACCTCAGGTAACCCTCATCTGGAACATCTTCTGGGCAATTTCCATGTTCAAATTGCACTCACCTATAAATCCTCAACCCCAAGCCATTTCTCTTTAACATCTCTTAACATCTTTTTACCCCCTAATATCCACCAAAGGCCATGCTAAATGCTGGACAATTACCTTAGGGTTATTTGTTGGTCTATATGAGCTCCGTAAGAGCTGAGCCTAAGTCTCATTCATCATGTAGCTCTGAATCTAATACAGTGCCTGCCACAAGGAAGGCACTAAGGAATGCACACTAAATGAATACATGCATGCAATATATTGACACTGCCAACATGTTATAAATATATGCCATGTATGTATCTATGTACTAGTATGCTTGATTTTCTTTAGGTGGTTTCACACACATTTTAAAACCTCATTTTCTCAGTACCTTGCGTTGTAGGTAGGAGAAATTGTCAAAGTTTACTGATTTGGAGACTTACTCAGTAATTCTCATTAGCCCTAAACCTGGATTCCTTTAATGTAGGTGAGAAACTGTCCTGAAGAGCCACCTTATATAGAACTAAAGCAGTTCTGGAATGTTGTTGTGGACACAGGAGGTATTCAACAAACATTTATTTATGGTTTAAAGCTAGATATAAGGCCTCATATAGCTAAGGAGGTGTGGATAAAAGCACAGCTTCTCATTTCTTCTTTAAGCATTGTTCCAATTTTCCCATTGAGCTCATTCTGGAAACTTAAACCAAATATTCCCTTGACATCACATGCCCATTACATCAGTCATGATCTCACATCTCGTTGTGGCATCTTTGCTGAGGAAGCTAGAAAGAAAATATTCTCCCCAGAACCCAGCCTAGAGATAACCAAATCCCTCTGAACTCATGACTTAGATAAATTCCCAAGAAATTCTTCATTTCCCAAGATAAATAAGCCCCCACTAGACTAGTTAGTGCAACTAGGCAAGCGGGGCTGATGCTGCTGATGGAGAGATGACAGGCCAGGCATTCTCCTGCCTTCCTCCAACACAGTGGTTCTCAACCTGTGGGTCGCGACCCCTTTGGGGGTCGAATGACCCCTTCACAGGGGTCGCCTAAGACCATCGGAAAACACATATAAAATTACATATTGTTTTTGTGATTAATCACTATGCTTTAATTATGTTCAATTTGTAACAATGAAAATACATCCTGCATATCAGATATTTACATTACGATTCATAACAGTAGCAAAATTAGTTATAAAGTAGCAACGAAAATAATTTTATGGTTGGGGGTCACCACAACATGAGGAACTGTATTAAAGGGTCGCGGCATTAGGAAGGTTGAGAACCACTGCTCCAACACATCCTCCTTGGGGTGCTTGCAATTCCATACTATAAGGCACAGACCAGTACTGACCCACATTAGGGGAAAAGGGATGATCAGTGGGATGTGGTGTTAATAAGTCCCTGAAGTTCCTAGCCACTGCCCTGGACACTTGATGCACAACTCTCATCAACCTCAGACAATTCTGGCTGGGCTGGTGTCCAGGTCAGCACTTGATATCTCAAACAGAAGAGGGTCCAGGAAGGAGTATGGCTACCCAAAACATCTGTTGACCCTTTGAGGAGCTAACTGCAAAGTACACCTGATTCTACCCGGGGGGGGGGGGGGGGGGGGGGGGGGGATAATTCCTGAAGACTGCTATAGCCAAACTAGCCTTCACATTGCCACCCCCAACCCCCTTTATGATGTAATGTTGCTGGTAAGTAGAGGCTACCATTTATTGAACACCTGTGGGAAAAGAAGTTAAATAATTTACATACAATGCCTCATATAATCTTCAAGACCACTCCATAGGACAGTGGTTATCAAACTTTAGCTTGCCTCAGAATCACTACAGGAACTTGTTAAAGCCCTACACTCATGGCTTATGGAGTGGGCCTGAGAATTTGCATTTCTTATAAGCTCCCAGGTAATGCTAACGCTCCTGATCCAGGCTCCATGCTTTAAGAACTGCCCATAGGAAAACAGAGATTCAAGAGAGGTTTAAAACGTCTTATCCAAGGTTTCACAGCTAGTAAAGGACAAATCCAGAATTTGAACCTAGATATGCCTGACTCTACAGTGCTGGTAACCAAACTATGGTATGTGTGAATGTTTGCCTTGTGTTCCCAAATTCACTGACAGCTCCTTAAAAGCACACATTACACTTTAGATCTTCTTATATCCATACTCTCTGAATCTAGTGGTAGGTGCTACACAAATACTTTGTATACTGGCTCCCACATAGCCACATACATCTAAGTGCCACAAATTCAAACTCAATTCCAGTCAAAGAACATAAAGAGGGCAGCACTGCCAGACCTGGTTTTACATGAGACTCTCTCTCTTGTCACTGAGTCTGTGTCCATGATGTCACCACACCTGGTTAACTCCTACTCATTCTTCAGTCAGTTACTTCCTGCAGAAAACAATTCTTGGTTCTCTAAAATTGGGGGCCACCCTAAGTTTAACTCCATTATAATTGGCTATTTTCCATCTCTCAAAGCTGGAGTTTATAAACTCCAGCATCTAGTTCTATATCCTATCCCCAGAGCCTGGCACAGTGCCTGGCACATCATAGACACTGAATTGTTTGCCGAATGAACAAATGAATGAATGAATGCAGAACTGCAAGCCCTAAGTTCCACTTTAAAATATAATGCATGATGGGCAGTTCTCAGGGATGAATTCTGGGGAGGGAAGGGCAGACTTGACAATAAAGACCAATTTTTCCTTTTCTCTTTCCCGTCACTCAGAATCTGAGAACAGGCACTGCTTAGGGTAGCACTGTCTGCAATGAGACAATATGGGAGCTGAACAAAAATGCTCCTGGGTCAGCAGAGGCCATTCTGAGAGAAGGAAAGAGCTCTGCACCCCATCATTTTCCTCCCAATTTGTCTTTCACATACTCCTCCTTTTCTCCATCCCCCTGCAGTCAAGGGCTTTGGCACAGGGATGAAAGAGACAGATCAGACTTAAGGGTGCAGATCTGGCAGCGGGCACAGAAGCATCTCCCATCCTGCACCAAAACCCACAAGGAAAGATCCAGAGGGACAGTGACTCAGGCCCCAGATTAAGTACAGCTAGAGCAGCACTGAAAATGGAAAAGAGCAACAATTTCACAAGGACGTTGTCAGACCTTTTTTAAAACGGTGTTTTTAAAGTAAGGCTTCAACCCTAACCCCAGAAAACTGGGCCCAGCTGAATCCACTGCTTAGACAAGCTGAGAGCCAAACACAGCTCCTTCCTCCTCCCAACCCACCCCCTCTGCAACACTGACCATGACAGGCATTTCCCAGGGCTGGGTTGGAACTCTTGCTTCCAGCTTAGCTTGCAAAAAGGCTCCTTCCCCAGTTAAACAGGTCCCCCACCACCACCATGTTGCAGTAATAGAGGTCTCCACCATCCCCCATCCCTTCTCAGCAGATAACACAACCTATAGCAGGTTGGCCCTATCCAATTAGTTTGAATAGCTGTGTGCCAAAGAAATTGCTGCTTTTATTAAAAATAAAAGCGCACTAAGCAGGCAATGGGCTGTAAAGAGTATGAGTCTGGCATAATTATGAAGGTCGAGGTTAAGGTTACCAAAAGAGACATACAAAGATTTCCAGAGGCCTGGGGAATAAAGATGTAGATTTAGATATAGATACGGAATTTACACAGCAAACACAGCAGATCTAAATAACATCTCCAATAGAGGAAAAGCAAAAATAAGATGCCCCTCTCAAATAATTCTTTCGGCATTAAAAAATAAAAATTTTTAACCTAAAACTGAAGGGAGGGCCTACTGACTGGTCTCAAAATAACTACATTCATTGCATGTAATTTCTGTTATCTCACCTACATCCTGGGGACCTGATTACAGTTGGGTCAGGAAACCTTGTCAAACCCACCAACAGCCTCAGCTCATGGCACTGGGAAAGTTGGGCAGAAGAAAGAGAAGGAGAAAACCCTCTCTTCAGCCCTCACATCCATTATTTCAAGTTTTAGCAGGATGACAAGCCCACCACCCTCCCCTGATGTGAAGCTTCCCAAATTCACACGTAGGTTTTCTCGTCTGATCCTCATAATTCAGTGAGACAAACAAGATTTGGTTTGTCAATGTTTTTAAAAAAAATAAACGAAAAGGCCACTGAGGTAAACAATGTCCTGCCGGACAACCTCCCCCTGCCCCCATAAACCCTGTCACTCTCAAAGCTCAGTTTTAAATTTCTCAAGGGCAATGATTCACAGGGCGAGGGAATGAGGAAGGGAGGGTCACCTGGTAAAACCCATTCATACAGGCAACAACTGGAAAAACAGAATCTTGCTGCATCAGCGCAAGATTTTCATTGAGGCGCCCGTCGTCCCACCGTACCTTCCGCCAGCACCTCGTCCACCGTGACCTGCTGCCGCCCAATGCCAAAGACCCTGCCGATGTAGCCACTGCCCAGGCCCGAGGAGCTGCCCCCTCCGCCGCTGGAGCCGGAGCCCAGGCCAGAGCCGCCCTGCTCTCGCCGGGAGTCGAAAAACTTCTTCATCTTGCGAATAGGAAGCAGTAAAACAAAAACACCGACAGCTTCTAGATTTTTTTTTTCTTTTTTAAAGAAAACAAGAGATCCAAGGATTTCTTCTCGGATTTCAGCTCGGAGAGGAGCCACCCGAATCCGGCCGTGGGGGTGGGGGCTGAGGGAGGATGCCTATAGGAATATGCGTGTCAATCGCGCGGCGGTCGGTCCCCTCCTCCTCTAGAGAATGATTCGTATAAGTTTAAACCTGTGATGACAGAGGGAGAGAGAGAGGATGAATCAGTAACACACTTAAAAAGGCAACTACTGAGTCCTACGGTCAGCACAAGCCATCATCCTGGGGAAACGCTCCATGAATTTTCTAAACGAGAAAAACGCTGGGGCTGAAAACGCGTCCCCCACCCCCAAACCAGAGACCCTGTGCCCAGGGCTCGGAAAAAGAAGGAATTCGGGCCGCCGACTCAGCCGGGCACTGCCCCCCCCTGCTCCCCGGTCTCCCCGCCGCCCCGCGAGGCAGC